GGTACAGTGTTGTCAAACTGAACGAAATATACGTAAAACTTACCAGTTTTCCCACCCCAAGCCTGTCGCAAGCCCGAAATTGGGGTGTTCGTTGCTCATCCTGATAAATTGTTCTTTGAAACTTTTATTTAACGCGTTATTATCAGCCACAACGCCGTACATAGCTCCTATTTCTCCATATTGTTGCCCAGGGACGGTTCTTAAGCGTAATAAGGTTCCTGTAACGTCAAAAGTCACTAATTTTAGCTTGGAGAGATTCATTGTCTGCCGGAAACCCTAGAAACAGCGCGAAATACTGAAAAAAACTGAAAAACGATTAGGTAAACAAGATGTTTGCGGTGTTGTCACGACTCATGTTGTGGATGGGGATTTTTCACAGCGTGCTGTGAAAAGTCTTGTTTACGGAATCGGTCATGGAAGAAAATATTGATGCGGTGCGAGGATCAAAGGTTGTCTTGAGCTACGGGGGTGTGTGAATTGGTTGTCGATATTCTTTTTCATCATGCGGGAAGTTAAACACTACCGGGGCGTTTCAGAAAGTTTGTACAATATTTTGTTAAAAATAAATTAAATTAAATTGTTTGTTATGAAATATTTCAAAAAATAACTGCATTTTCCTAGAATTGACTCAAAAACTTCTCTATTTTGGCAGTATTAAATTATTAATTGGAAACGTGTTTAAATATACTGTAGGATAGACTCACACAATGTTCACTTTTTAATTCTACATCTAACAAAAAAATAATATACAAGGTGTTCCATTTAAAAAAAAACAAGAAAAATTACTTTATATTTTAGAAAGTTTGGCATAGACTTTTGAACACCCTGTATAGGGTTTAAGATTTCGATTATATATATTGCACAGTAAATACAGACCAACTATAATAAATACCTAGTACCTATAGTTTTGATTTCAGGATATTTCTTGTATTTTTAATAATTTTTTTAAAAAAGTCTGATCATTTTGTTTTATTTATTTATTTCTTAATACTGCTGAAACTATCAAAACATATTTAAGAATATCTTAGGATTATGTAAAGTGATCAGAAAGGAAGCCAAAAATGCAATAATATACAGGGTGCTTTAAAAAACATTTAAAAAATCATTCCGATCCACTCATACTTTTTTGAGCAACCCTGTAGAAGTTAAAATATTTTCCTGAATACTTTATGTTTACACTTAAACAAAATCCCTAAGTATTTTTATTATAAGAGCTACAGAGATACCCGACACACTATTGCCGGACCCTGGTATATACAAGCTTCAAATTTTTTACTTGCCTATACATATTTTTCTAGAAAACAAAATTTCACAAAACGAAGTATTGTTTTGTGTAATATTATTTTTTTAAACTGTTTTATTGAAAGAAATGCTATAATTTATTTATTCTTTCAAAACTATAATAATAATAAGCTTAAATAGACCATGATTCGTATATAATCATGCTGATAAAATTTAGTTTATTTCCATTTCCACCCTATCGAGAAAATCTGACATAAAATAATCTGCGCAAGCCTAATTTTCCAGCTGTTTTCCAATGATTTTCACGCACTAGCAATGTCAGTTTTTCAAGATTTTTCTCGCTACATTACTCTAAGTAAACATTGTTAACTAAAAACCACGATTTAAAGCAAAATTAAGTCTTTTTCAAGAGTTCTATATCATATAAAATATTAATAAACACACAAAAGACACAAAAAGTTCCTCGATTAAAGAAAATATGATGGAAAAAGAGTGCGACATAAAAATATTGTAAACCAAACCAAAACAGAATGTGAAAAATAAAAAAGAAACCATAAATTTTAAAAGATACATTTTTGTGGCATATTATCGGTATGAGATCTAGCCATGGTGGTGAAATTTCCCAAGAATATATACGGTGACCCAAATAACAACCTGGATTTCAACTTAAGAACAATATGATTCTGAGTGATATTGCCCTACGATTTTTCATAGTTTATTTTGAGATTGGTGCTGTTTTTTCTAGCAAGGTTCTTCAAGAAGGTATGATACGTTCTATATTTTATTTATACAGGGGCGTGTATCGTAAATTTTGAATCGTAAATTATTAAGTTATCGTAAACAACGATGCAACACCCGGTATACTATACACAGTATCCCATATATGAAAAAAAAACTACAGGGATCTCATAGAGAACGAACCAAAAGATATACAGCGTTGTCAATAATATAAAATATTCTCCAAACTTAGGTATTTTTTGTAACAATCTTTTTATTGTATTTTTTTTGCCCTCCTAGATTTGACTTCTGATTCATGTTCACCTCCGCTACTAGCTCTTAACGGTACACAAACAGAGAAAGGGGAATTAAGGATAAAGAAGGACTATTCCCATGTGAAGGAGGTTAAGTTTTCTGGGTCCATCGGACCACTGGGTGAGAAAAGATTGTGCAAGATCAAATGCATAGGTGGTCAATGGGTTGGACCACTGTGCGTAGACCAGCAAGGTATGTAGAGAATGATTTACTTCAAAATACTATGGTAGACAACCTTAATAGTATTTTGAATTCTCCAATAAATACCAGAATATTATACTGGGTGTTCAATTTAAAATAAAAAGACTAACTTGCCTTTAAAAGTGACCAAAGTTCAATATTAATTTTGTCTCACCCTGTATATCTTTTCGGGTCCAGTTTTAATTTGATTTAAAGTACAATGGATATTTTAACTAAATATTAGGCTATACCGGGTAAATTACAATTTAGATAGATTTTAGCGATGTTTAAAATTTTTTATTCGCTTTTAGAAAATGTTAAATATGTCAAAAACCTTACATTTTAATCATATCATTCTTCAATGAAACTCACCTTTATTTTTTTCTAGAATCCGAAAATCAATTAATATATAGGGTGTTCAATTACAAAAAATACAACTTTGTTGATGTGTACCTTTTTTTGAGACACTTTATAAAATCCAGGTCTTGTAAAC